GAAGAAGTGGAGTGCAAGATAAGCTTTGGGCATTCTAAGTTTGAGATGCCTGCAGGGCATCCAGGCAAAGATATGTAGTAGCCAATTAGAAATATGGATCTAGAGATATAGACATGGGGAGTCATTAGGGCCTAGGTATGGCAGAAGGCTATGATTGAGTTTGTTCAGGGAGAAGCGAAATGGACCAAAAAACACAACACAGCACAGAAAAACACTACTGTTTGGGGGATTTTGTTTGTTTGTGGGAGGGTGGGAAATTCTGTTAAGGAGACTATAAAGGAATAGTAAGACAGGAAGGAGAAAATCCTTTAGAGAATCATGTGGAAGTAAGGAGAGAAAATGTTCTACAGAATAAAGTTTGGTCAAATATATCAACTGCTGGAGAGAGAGCAAGTAGTGGGAGTCTCTCTGAACCTATTCTGTTTCGGGGAGTGGGGGAGAGAGCCTGATAAAAATTTTTTTAAAAAAAAGAAAGATCACTAGTGCAAAGTCTCAAAATAGGTCATTGATTTGGCCATTAGCAGGCCACTGGTGACTTTAGCAAGAGCAATTTTGTTAGGTGGGCACCAAACAGGATACTTAGAGAGATTGGGATGCACTCTCCCAGGCACCAGCTCAAGCAGCAAAGTGGAAAAGTTATCAGAATAAAAATGGAGTCACTTGTGTTTCCAAAAGTTCAGCACTTGTCCCCCAGGCCACATTAGAAGAATGAGGACAAGTGGTTTGAGGAGAAGGAAAGAGGAATTTATTAATTTGCCTGCAAATGAGGAGATTGGCAGACTCCCATCTCAAAGTACCAACATCCTCCTTCTGAGCAGAAGTAAACAGCTTTTAAAGATTCTGATTAATCCCATAATTCCATATTTGGCTAAGACAATCTTGTGACTTCTGCCCTTGAGCCATCTCCTGTGGCACAAAGAATAAAGGACATTTCCCTCCCCCTCCTGACCACTGGCCTAAGGCACGCATGCAGGTTTTAGTTCTCAAAAAAGGGTAAGTGGGCTTTGAAGAGACAAAAAACATTTTTACCTTTTTTTCGGGCCATTTTCTCTATTACTCTTGTTTTAAAAACCCTGACAAATGGCCCAAAAAAAGCCATGAAAGAAAGGCTCTCATGAACAAATACATGATAACAAGAACAATCACAAAAGACTACAAAACCACAGCCTTACACAAAGGCTATCACAACCTTATACACACAAATGCTTCTGGGAGAACATTTGCCCAGCAACTGCCTGTCCAACCTTTGACTGGGTCTACCCTTGTTATTGATCCACATAGACAAGAATAATAATCTCAAAACAATTGTGTAATCCTCCTCATTTTCCCTTTGTCTTCCTTTACCTTCCTAAATATGTACATAGTTTACTACTGCAAGCATATTTTCATTTCAATACCTATACCCAAACATCTTTTTTCTAAAGAGCATCTTTCTCTCTGTTTGTTATTTAAGTTGACAGAAAGATCATTTATCTCAAACTCATTTCATCAGTGACTCTAGCAATACTCTAATCTTTTGCTCTCCTGGAAAGGGCCTTTCTTGAAATGGAATGTGGCTCTTTTGTCTTCTGTAATTGTTTTCCTATGCTAGTTGTGTCCAGTGACATCCTAAATTACTTTTCAAACTTCTAATTTACCTCATTTTATAATTGGAATGAAGTTAGATACATAATAGAACTTTTTACCTTCCCTATAATCTTTATGTTGTGTCCATGTATTGAGGCTGGACTTTGGGAAAGGCATATATAGTTCCAAACAATATTTCTGTGATCAAGATGTCAAGAGTATCATTACCCACATGGAAGTTTCAAGTGCTTATGTTGCTGAAAACTGGGCACTTGTCCACAAGGCCAAATCAGAAGAACGAGGACAAGTGGTTTGGGGAGGAAGAAAGAGAAGTTTTGTTATTCTGTTGGCAAAGGAGGAAAAATGGTAGACCTTCTGGCCTCAAAATCCAAATTTCCTGAACATTTGCAGAAATATAGAACTTTTAAAGGATGTATTCTCAGCTTCAGGCAATCACTATTCAACTACAGTTGATAATTCTGATCATCCCTTGTCCGCTTAAGACAATATTGTGACCTCTGCCCAGGACCTCCTTTTACCAGGTCCAAGCTGGGCCATCTCCTGTTGCACACATAAACAGAAGAAGACTTACCTTGCCTTTCCCAACCACTGGCCTGAGGCAGGGATGCAGGCTTTTGTTCTCAAAAAGGAGTAGAGGATGTTTTAAAGAGACAGAAAACATTTTGCCATTTTTTCCAGGCCATTCCCTCTGTTACACTTACTGGCCACAGCCACATAGGATTCAATATCAGTGGTTCACAAAAGAAAGATTAGAGCTAGGTGAATCACTTTGCCTAGCCTCCTATAGCCTTTTCCTTAGCAGATTTCTGGAGTTCTTTCTCTGGGCAGCTTCCTTATCCTGATATCTGAACTCTGTTCCCTTAGTGACCATGACCATGCTTAGTTGGCCCCTTCCTGGGCTGAGGTCTGGAAAGTGCCTCCAGGCTAAGAGCTGTAGTAATCAAGAGGCTTTCTTCATTGGTTTCCCTTCCATCAGGGAATCACAGTTCTAGGTTTCTTATTGACCACTATCTAAAAACAGTTATTTTATTTATTTTTCCCAGTTTAACAGTAGTGTACGGCGGGAAGGTCTTGCCTAGTATCAGTTACTACATTATGGTTGAAAGTGGAAGTCTTTCCTTCAATGTCTTATGAGCTTTGCTGGCCAGTTTTTAATTTCAAATGATGTAGTGGAAAAACTGACTGGGAACCCTGTGTTTATGGGCAGGGCTTTGTCAATTGGGAGGTTTTGCTTTAGTGTGAATGGATGAAAAGAAGACCGTATGCTTTGGATAATAGACACCATTGGATGCCTACCCAGATGCCTACCCATTATTAATTTTTCCCTTGCTAATATAACCATGCTTTGATCTAGGTGTCGCCCTTCTCTGTCTAGCCAAGTGAAACTATCCTTAACTCAAGGGTCAATCCTGACTGGGCTAAACTAAAACATGATAATTCCAATCTCCCTTGCCAGTGGTTTGTTTAGGTATAGGCATGTTTTGCAATTTTGATCAATGAAAACATCTGGAGGTTTTCTAAATTAAAAACTAAAGACAAAAGGAAATATAGTCTGTTTTCTTCTTCAAATGTTTTCAAATCTGAGAATGGCTGGGCATGGTGGCTCACGCCTGTAATCCTAGCACTCTCAGAGGCCGAGGCAGGCAGATTGCTCGAGGTCAGGAGTTCAAAACCAGCCTGAGCAAGAGTGAGACCCTGTCTCTACTACAAATAGAAAGAAATTAATTGGCCAACCAATATATATAGAAAAAATCAGCCGAGCATGGTGGCGCATGCCTGTAGTCCCAGCTATTCGGGAGGCTGAGGCAGGAGGATCTCTTGAGCCCGGTAGTTTGAGGTTGCTGTGAGCTAGGCTGATGCCACGGCACTCACTCTAGCCTGGGCAACAAAGTAAGACTCTGTCTCAAAAAAAAAAAAAAAATCTGAGAATGATCCCTCGTGATAAGATCTGAGGAACACAGAAGGATGGAGTGATGCTGGGCCCTTGATGTTATTCAGCCGCTGAATTGAAAACTCTAGTCACTCTCCCTCCAAACATGTAAGATATTCTTAAAAACAGAGATTTCTGATACACATAAATAAAGTCATCCTAACTGATACAGACTCCAGAATGTAGAAGACTTGGTCCTTCTGTGTCAACTTGCTTTCTAACTTCCATAGCACTTCAAATCATGTGTTCAATTTCTTTAGAAAAGAACCCTCTATTTTGCAGTTTTAGCTTTTATTTTTTTCCTGGAAAATGGGGAAAACACCTGGATCCCAGGCGTCATGCTTGTAAGAATAGGCTTAATGTTAAGGAACTAGTGCACATGGGTTTTCAGAAAGATTTCTCCAGACAAAGATTAGGATAGAAATAAGTTTATTTGCTCTTTCCAAGGCAGAAAAAGAGCCAACACAAAAGAGGAAGAGGAAGAGTGTTTTGGCATAGAAGGCCAGTTACTCAGACCTTTTATTTAGGAATTGTAAAAAAGGGGGTGAAAGATGATTTGTGGCAGTAGCCAAATTAACAGGGTATTGTGAACTGTTGTATCTGCTTGTTCTCTTCTTTTTAGCAGCAGGCAGATAACTGAACCGAAGTGGCCAGAGCTCTTGTCCCCGACCTTGCCCTTAAGAATTGATTTTGGGCAGGATCTGAGGCCTGAACTTTGTCCCCCCTGCTGTCCGTCCAAGAAATTCTCAGGAACTCCTCCAGGCTGCAAAAGCAGATGCTAAAAGGGCAGTCTTAGTCAATAGGTTTAGCTATCATAAAAGAAAAAATGTACATTTCCTTTTTGTCTGCTGGGCTCCTTATAGATGTTGTGAAAACAGAGCTCCACAGGGTGCCTTAGAGAGAGAGAGAGAGAGAGAGAGAGAGAGAGAGAGAGAGAAGAGAGGGGAGAACTCATTTTTCTGTTATTTTGTTATCAAGATCGACTGTCTTTTGACTTGGTGACTTAATTCTCAATATAGACTTTAAATTAATCCTTCCATTTTAAGCCCCTAGGTGCTACTTTCTGGCATATTTAGTGTTTGCAAGTCCTGAGCTTTGCTGAAGTTCTGTAGTGCTGATTGGGTCCTTCTTCAACAGCATCTCACTCTACTGAATTCTTGTATGTTCTTCCTCCATCCTATTTCATGACTCTTCTTTCCTTCATTGAATTTCAGTCAGAAGAACTCTTATACCCCTGTTCCCTGAAGCCCTGCTCTTATTCTATGTATTGTTATGGATTGATATTTTCTTATTCCTTTACTATTATTTTAATAAGGTGCTATGGGAGCTATGAGAAAATCACAGGTGCTCAGTTGGCTCTCTTGAATCAGAAATTCCAACCTTACACGTAATGACGACTGAGGATGACCTAAGATAAAATACATGAATGGAATCAACTAGTCTGAAGGTTCTGAATGGAATTCTGGCATAAAGTTGTTTTGAGGTCAGAACCAATAGATCTCTAATATTCTCTGATCTGAAAACTAGAAGCAGCTGTTGAGACAGAAGGTAGGTGCTCTTTAAGGTGCTCCGATATTTTTGAGGACCTGATCTCTGGCAGGTGGTATCTCCAGGTTGGTATGGGTGGACGCTGCAACTGGCTGAGGCTCTTGAGTACTCCTTTTAGAAAATTATAATGATCCACATGCCATAAAATTCACCATTTTCAAGTTTACAATTCTGTGGCCTTTAGTATATTACAGGTTGAACAATTATCATGACTATCGAATTACACAACATTTTCATCAACCCTAAAAGAAACCCTGTACTGATAAGCAGTCACTCTCCATTTCTCCTTCTCTCTAACCCCTGGAAACCTATTCATCTACTTTCTGTCTCTACGGATTTGTCTATTCTGAATACTTTATATAAAAGGAATCAAGTAATATGTGTGCTTTCTTTCACTTAGCATAATGTTTTCATAGTTCATCCATGTTATAATATATATATATAAATGTATTTCTGTTTTAAAGCTGAATAATATTCCATTGTATGGATATACCACAGTTTGTTTACCCATTTATCAGTTGATGGACATTTGGATTGTTTCTACTTTGGGGCTATTATAAATAATGCTGCTATGAATATTCCTGTGCAACTTTTGGTATGGACATATTTTCATTTCTCTTGTGTGTTTTTATAGGAGTACCATTGCTATTTGTTTGGGCTGCTATAAAAAAGTATCTTAGCTTAGATAACTTATGAATGATAGAAATTTATTGCTTACAGTTCTGGAGGCTGAGAAGTCCAAATCAAGACACCAGCAAATTCTGTGTCTGGAGAGTGCTTGCTCTCTGCTTCAAAGATAGCACCTTTTGATAAAGTACCAGACTATCTTCAAAAGCAATAGCATCATTTTATATTCCTGTCAGCAGTGTATGAAGTTTCCAGTTTCTCCATATCCTCACCAATACTTTTTATTGTTATTGTCTATCTTTTTGATTATAACCATCCCAGTGGGTGTCAAGTGAAGTGGTAACTTATTGTGGGTTTTTCTCTTTTTTTCAGATGAGGTCTCACTCTGTCCCCCAGGCTAGAGTGCAATGGCATCTTCATTGGGTTGTCTTTTTATTGTTGAGTTGTACGAGTTCTTTTTATCTATTCTGGATAGTAGACCCTTATTAGATTTATGATTTGCAAATATTTTTTCCCATTTTGTGATCCATTTCAATTAAATTTTTGTACATGTGTGATGTAGAGAACCAATTTTATTCTTTTGATCATGGATATCCAGTTGTACCATTACCATGTGTTAGAAGGACTATGCTTTCTACCATTGAATTATCTTGGCATTCTTGTCAAAAGTTAATAAACATGAGGATTTTCTTTCTAGACTCAGTTCTTTTTTTTTTTTTAACACTGGTCATTTTGGGCTTTATAGACTAAGTTCTAATTCACTGATCTATATTTCTTTCCTTAGGCCAATACCACACTTGACTATTGTAGCTTTTGTAGTAAGTTTTGAAATTGGGAAGTCTGATTCCACCAACTTTGTTCTTTTTCTCAGGGTTGTTCTGGTCACTTGAATTTCCATATACATTTTATGATTATTTTGAATGGAGAACTGTACTAAAGCTACGCCTTTGGACCCTGGGCCTGTCTATTTCTTTGATCAGGTAATAATCTTGCTCCATCTCATCAAATTATAATTTACTTTTAAAATAATAATGTGCTTTTGACCAATATTTTCTCATACTTTTTAATCAGAAAGTTTTATTTTATTTTAGTTGAAACCTAAAAGGAAAACATGGAATAAGAGAACCTGCAAAGCGCAGTTCTCTCACCTGCAAGACACCTCAGGATCTAATCATCGGTAAGACATTTGGAATTATTCTGCAATTGTTGGTGCTACTTTACATTTTCAAAGGCTTATAAGATACCCAAGACCAATGTTTCTACATTCCTCATCCCCTGAAAAACTACACTGAGGAATTGCCATATCAGATCTGGCCATGTAGTCATTCAGAGGGCTTTATACTTAGGTCAATGGTTAATTTTAGCATAACTGGTCATATTCACCAGTCACCCTGGTGTCCCTGCTATTCTACAACAACTCAGCCCCATTTCTACCTTAGGGAGAGTTTACACTAGACATTTCTTCTGTTTTCTGCATAGCTTCCTGCTGTTCCCTTTAACTCTTTCCTAAAATACTACCTTTGCTGTAAGATTTTTCTAGATTATTCTATTTCATATTTCTGCCCTGCCCCATCTTGGCATTCCTATCTCCCTTCCTAACGTAATTTTTCTATTGCACTTATCACTGTGTAAGCATGCTGGATGATATTCCTGTTTATTTGTTTACCCTCTCTCCGCTCACGAGACTATAAGGTCTACAGGGGCGGGATTTTTTTTTTATATACTTGCTCACTTTTCTATCCCCAGTCCCCAAAACAGTGCTTAGCATATAGAATATCCTCAAGAAAGATTCATGATTAACCACCATGGAATTGTCCCAAGCTCACGAAGATGAATGAAATAATGAAACTAGCCATTCCACATTTTTTTACTCTCTAGTTACTACTATTTCTTTACTTGTGAAGTGGAAATTAAAATACTCCAACCTGTCTTAGAACATATATCATAAGGGTGCATAAGGTTAAAAGTCATTAATTTTATCAGTGAATTCTTTACTGGGAGCGATTTTGCCCCTTAAGAGACATTTCACAGGCAGGCACGGTGGCTCATGCCTGTAATCCTAGCACTCTGGGAGGCTGAGGCAAGCGGATAGCTCAAGGTCAGGAATTTGAAACCAGCCTGAGCAAAAGCAAGACCCCATCTCTACTAAAAATAGAAAGAAATTAATTGGACAACAAAAAATACATAGAAAAATTAGCCAGGCATGGTGGCGCATGCCTGTAATCCCAGCTACTCGGGAGGCTGAGGCAGAAGGATCGATAGTGCCCAGGAGTTTGAGGTTGCTGTGAGCTAGGCTGACGCCACAGCACTCTAGCCGGAGCAACATGGTAAGCCTCTAAAAAAAAAAAAAAAAGAGAGACATTCCACAGTGTCTGCAGTCAGTTTTGGTTGTCACAACTGGGATTGCTATTGTCATGTGGGCAGAGACTAGAGATGGTGCTAAATATCCTATAATCCACAGGACAGCACCCCACTGTAGAGAATTATCCTGTCTAAAATGTCAATACTACCAGGGTTGAGAAACCTTGGTTTATACTAATCTGTATTTCTTTTCTTGGAACTTGCTGTAACTTTTCTCAAAACCACAGCAATTTACTGCTGTTTTCAAAAGTTCACTGTCTCCCTATTTCCCACTCTTTTTGTCTGAAAAGCAATTCAACATAACTAGATCATTTACATTCACGATGCTTAGCTTATCATTGGCTCTCAACCAACATGTTCAGATTGTCATATGTATCATAGAGCACCAGGGGTCTATTGGCTGCTCATTTTTCTCATTTGATGTACTCCTTGGGAATGTCTCAAGCATTGCATCTGCCCACCCTGCTTGGAAACACCCCATTTCTCACAGTGGCTATCCTACTATTGCCATTGCACCAGGAATAAAATCCACTCTTCTTACCTTGACCTGAACGCCCTTCCGAGATTTCCTCTTCTTTCTTCTGACCTCCTTGCAGGCCACTTTCTGTGCCAATTCCTGCTCCCCAGCCATATGGCCTCTGGTTTTTTTTTTTTGTTTTTTTTTTTTTTGAGATAGAGTCTCGCTTGTTGCCCAGGCTAGAGTGAGTGCCGTGGTGTCAGCCTATCTCACAGCAACCTCAAACTCCTGGGCTCAAGCAATCCTTCTGCCTCAGCCTCCCGAGTAGCTGGGACTACAGGCATGCACCATCATGCCCGGCTAATTTTTTATATATATATTAGTTGGCCAATTAATTTCTTTCTATTTATAGTTCAGGCTGGTTTCGAACTCCTGACCTCGAGCAATCTGCCCGCCTCGGCCTCCCAGAGTGCTAGGATTACAGGCTTGAGCCACCACACCCGGCCTGGCCTCTGTTTTTGAACAACCAGGCCCATTACTGCTTTAGGTTCTTTGCACTTGTTGTGCACTCCGCTTTGAGTGTTTTCCACCATTTTATGGTTGGCTTCTCCCCACTATCATTTGGGTCTCAGCTCACATGTGGCCTTCTCAGAGAGGCCATCCCTGACTCACAATCCAAAAAAGCCAAACATTCACACCCCTGTCACACTATTACACAGGCCAGTCTTATTCTCATCATTGCGGTTATCACTATCTGTGGTTCTCTTTCTTTAAACATATAATAATATGTTTAAAGTTTTTGAAATATGAGTCTTCCTTCTTTTAAATATCCACTCTTTCCTTCCCATCTTTTCCCCAACTGGAATATAAAATCCATGAAGGCAGTGATCTGTCATCTCCATCACGTCTCCCTAGCACCTAGAACTGTGCTTGATGCATATTTGTGGCATGAATGAATCCTCCTCCACGCGGGCTGTGCCTAGAGAGGTGGGGTTGCTTTAAGACTGGGCCAGTACCAAGATCTACATATGTGATCATCTCGTTTTAAGATTGTTAGGTCTTTTGAACACCATATTTTAGGCTAAAAAAAAAGATTGTTAGGTCTGCTTTTGAACTGGACAATCCATTATTTGAGCTTTCTATCTGAAAAATAAAACACCATATAAATATTATTTATTAAAAGGTATAGCCAGGTGTGGTGCCTCATGTCTGTGATCCCAGCACTTTGGGAAGCTGAGGCAGGAAGATCACTTGAGGCCAGAAGTTTGAGACAAGCCTGAGCAACATAGTGAGACCCTATTTCTACAAAAGACAAATAAAAAAATTAAACTAAATGCACTGTAAATATCTTAACCTTAAAACCCTCTGAGGAAGTATAATTATTGACCCCATTTTATAAATGATAAAACTGAGATGCTTAGTAAATGGTGTATATTACTATTATTATTGTAAAGAGCATAGCCTTTATTATTTGAGTAATATTATGAATTCATATTTACAGAATGTTACAAAGAAAAAGACCCTAAAATGGAAATAACGCAATAAATGCTACATAGGATTAGTATTAAGCTTTGGTGAAATGATGTTCATGAAAACAACTTTGAAAGCTATAAAGCAATACACAAATTTAATGAGTTATTATTATAATAATATGCTTAAAGTTTTTGAAGTATGAGTCCTCCTCCTTGAAATATGAGTCTTCCTTCTTTTAAATATCAACATGAAAATATAACCAATGCTCAAAGATCAAAGATTTAAGATCTACATTTACAATTCTTATGCGAATTCAAATACCTTTTGATCTTTAAATATTTTCCTTTTTATTACACATTAAACACTTAGTTGGGAAAACTGTTATTTTTCAAAATTTGCTAATGGAACCACCTTATAGAAGAAAAATACAAGTAGCTCTCTATGCTGTGGCCCATTTTATAAAAACTTAATTCAGATGAAACTCCATTGGGTGTTGATATGTTTCACCACATTGAGTTAGTGAAAGAAAACACTTTGAAATAATGACAACTGCCTTACTTAGAATTCTTTGAGCAACTGGTTTGGAGAACATTTCTGAGGACAGTTCATTTAAAGTACTCTTGTTCATGCCTCTGACAGTTCAATGAAATCAGTTTTGGTTTCTTGGGCAATAGATATTTCTTGGATGAATGAATTAAAATGATGGCCAGATTACAAATTTTAAGCTCTCAAAAAGGGAAAGACTAAGTCATCCTCTCCTTATTTTGCTTGTTTACTGCTATGGCTTGGAAGTTTGTCCCCTGTAAACCTCATTTGAAATTTGATCCCCATTGTTGGAGGTGGGGACTAATGGGAGGTGTTTGGGTCAGGGTGGTGCCTCTCTCATGCATAGATTAATGCCCTCCCTCAGGGAGCAAGTGAGTTCTCAACTCTGTTAGTTTCCAAGAGATTGTTGAAAAGAGCCTGGCACCTTCCCCCACCCTTTGCTTCCTCTCTCTCCATGTGATCTCTGCACACACTGGCTCTGCTTCACCTTCCACCATGAGTGAAAGCAGCTGAGTCCCTTACCAGATGCAAATGCCCAACCATGAACTTTCCAGCCTTCAGAATCCTGAGCCAAATAAACCAGTTTTCTTTATAAATTACACAGCCTCAGTTATTCCTTTATAGCAGCACAAAATGAACTAAGATAATTATCTTCTTGGATTTTATTTTATCAATTATCTAGAGGCTTGGAGATACCTCTGATGCTTCTCAGTAAAGAATATGCTTGGGATGTAAATGTTCTGTATTCAACTTATGGCTCCTGTCTTGAAGGAGAATTGCTTGAACAGCAAGGCTTGAACTCACTAAATTCTCCCATCTGTACCTAAATTATTCTCTTTCTTTCTTTGTGCTAATATTCATTGGGCACATGTATGCTAGAGAAATAGCAGTGAAAAAAATAAAGTCTCTGCTTCATGGAAATTTCACTGGAGCAAAGGAAAACAAATGAAAACCAAATAAGCAAATACAGAATGACAACTAGCGATATGTGCCTTGGAGAAAATAAAGTAGGTTTAAGGGGATGTGGATGATGCTGTCTTATACAGGTTGTTCAGAATGGCTTCATTCCTGAAGCAATGTTTGAGGAGAGACTTGGAGGACATGAAGAAGTGTGGTATGTGCAGGTAGGAAGCATCCTTGGTATGTTTGAGGTCAGCAAGGGGGCTAGTGTGGCTGAGGCATAATGAATTGAGAGAGAATAGTAGGAGATAAGTTCATGAAAATAAGAGGAAGTAGGGAGAGAAGCCAGATTACAAAAAACCCTGGAGGCCACCAATATACAAAGTTTTCCACTGGTGATATGGGAAGCCATTAAGTCTGAGCAGAGGGGAGTGGCTGGA